TTTAATTATGCAACATGTACTCATTAAATTATTTGATTTTAAAATCTTTTAATTGTGCAACATGTACTCATTAAATTATTTCAAAAAATAAGATATATAACGTATTAATTGTTGTTGTTGCTTTTGATTTAAAATTTTCTTTCAATTTCAATATATATCACATATTAATTTTAACACCTTCTATCAATTTCAATTTAATATTTTTTATAATTAAATTAATTACATTCACTTACGTGTTTTTAAAGTTTAGTCCTTTTTAACAATGATTTTTTTGTGTATTATTTTTACAATAAATTCTATTTTACTAAACTTTACAAAAAAATATTGTTTTCAAAGAATGTTTTTTTATCCAAAATCAGGTGTTAGCCCTTTTAATTTATAATATTTATGGATTTAGTCTAATTTATGATGATGATATACAAAAACTAATTTTTTTTATTTCTTTTTTTTTTTATCGTCAAATTAAGATTCTAGGAGATTTTTCAATTATATAAAGAGATTAATAGAAAGAATTTGAACATGTATTTTGATAAATAGGCAAGTGATAATATATATTTTTTATTTTTTATTATGAAACTTTATTATAATTTCATAATATTACTTATATTTGACTTTGAAATGTTATGGAATATTTGAACCAATATTCACTCTCAACAATTTGTCAAATTGATAACAAGGTTAAATTTAATTTAAAAGTGACATTTTCATATTTTGTTATTACTTATTTATTCAATTTTAAATTTCTTTATTGCAAGTTCACCATTTAAAAGTATATTCTATTGGATGAAGTTTTATAGTAATAGTGGATAAAACTCAACTTTGAAAAACAGTGAAAAAGGAATTGTTGTCTCAAAAATTAAAAAGGTAATCTAATAATATAGTCATAAAAATATCTTATAACTATATAAAAAAATATAGTTATACCATTTTCTCATTTAGATCAATTCTAACTCATATTTTTAATAATATTAGGACACTTGAAAATGCAATATCAAGTAATATCTGTCATATTAACAACTTTTATGCAAAACAAAATATCTTCATTTTTTAGGTAGTCTTGTTTTTTTTTCATATACTATAAAAAATTACATAAAATGTTAATATGTCATATTAATACATGACATTGTATTATTTATTTTTGTAGTTTTATAATATTCCGTAGATAATAACAATTTTTCTTGTAGTGATATATAACTTTGAAAACTATCTTACAGGGGTCAAAAATACCTTTTAATTTAGTAATTAAATTGTTAAAATTTAACATACACCAAAAGTTATTGAGTGGACTAACTTTATCAAAAGTTACTTTTAAAATTATTTGATTTCGACTGTTTCTCTCTTTTTTTTTCTCTGTCTATATATATATATATATATGTGGAGAGATTTGTTTACTCTACTTAGATCTATTCCATTTAATAATTTATGTTTTACATCAAATTTCAACGATGCAATTGAATTTAAAGTTTCTAAATTTTTTTTAGTAAATTAGATACTTGAGTAAATTACATAATTATCTCTTTTAAGTTTTTTGAAATTATAAATACACCCTTTACCTTTTTGCCTAACACTAAATACCATTAATTATTTGAAAATATTACATTCACATCTCCATAAACATTAAATAAATCCATTTAATTGTTTAAAAAATATTACATCAAATCCCTTCTAAAGAAATTGTTATAAATGTTAACATTGTGGGAGTTGTAAGTTCACAAAATTACTAATTCCTTAGGTGGTTTATTGATATTGGACGGATCCTTTATTTTATTTTTTTTAATAACCTCACGAAATTGCTTGATACTCACGAATCCTTCACAACAAAATTTCCATTTTTTACAGGAATATTTGTTGGGAATATGTCTAGATATATTTAGTTAGAAAAAAAAATAGTTTAATTTTTTTTTATGTTTTAGTTTTTTAAAATATTATTTAAATAAAATTCTTATCATTTAGTTTCAAGATATTGCGGGTGTTATTTTAAAATTGAGATAATATTAATGTTTAAATTTTTATATCATGAGTAAAAGTATAACAAACTCTTAAATATTTTTCTTAAAAAAGTACATTAAATAAATTAACACGAAAAAAACTTTATATTCCTGATACAATTTAAGTGACCATCAACATCCATGATGCCGTTGTCGACCTATATATACAAGGCAAATCAAGAGCATTCCTTTAACACAACAATATTGACAATACTATCATTCGTAATTTCTATATTAGGCAATTGTAAAGTTTAAGGTTATGGCTTAAAATAAGAACTACATCAAGTGCATCCACATTTGTCCCATCACCATCGCCAATACCTTGCTTGAACAACTCCTTCAACATTGCTGACGTCGAAGATTCAATTTTGTGATCCATGAGCTTGTTAGTAGTTAGTAGTAGTTTTACAATTAAATGATCACCCTTTTACTAGTGGTTCTTCGTGGAATTGAATCATCAAAACAAGTGTAAGTAGCCTTTACTCGGGTTTGACAACGAACCATTAACAAGGGTTGTTTTTTTTAAAAAAAAAAAAAAAAAAAAACTCTGCAAACAATTTTAAATTTAGAATATAGGAGTACCAACTTGACGGAAATGAATCATATTTTCTAAAACTAATTGAATCATCCTTTTTTCTTTATTTATAAAAACTCTTTATTTATTAACGGTAGCATTATTGAAACAATCTCTTAAAGATCACATATTATTAATGACTTCATAAATTTTGCTAATAATTTCACTGAACTGATTTTAGTGAATTAAACATTCATGTTTAACATTATAATAGTTTTAGATATAATTACTATAAAAACTCATTATGTTGTAATATTAGGATTCAATTAATTGGAATTACAATACCCATGTGCTTAAGTAATGAATTGAATATAACAAGATAATTGTGACATGCTTAAATTTTTAGAAGAAAATAAAGGATTTTGTTAAATTAATTTATTTTAGTCTTTAACAAATAATGTATTTAACTATGATTGTCATGCTATTGAATTATATCTAACTGGTAATTTTTGCTTCTATTTTAAAATTTCAATACATTCTGTATATTTTAAAAAAGATAATAGATGGAACACTGTTGTGCAATATATTTTTTTTATGACAAAAAATAAATTTTTATATTCATTATAAATCCATCATAAATACATATAACATAAAAAATCTTAATTTTCTTTATCATTTATAAAAATCATTGACATAAAAAGCTTTTTTCTTTGGTTAACTATTGCTCTCCTTTAGTGTTCTTTTTCGCTTGTTATCACATCTCTTTATATTTTACTACTGTACTTTTTTTCTCTCGTTGTCGCATTTCTTTGTGTTCTATCACCACCACTTTTATCATCACGTTCGTTTTTACAACATCATTTTTACATTTTCTTTTCTCACTATGTTTGTCACCACCACGCCCACTTTTTCTTTTACACTACCACACTATCAACATTATATTTAATTAATATCAATAAAAAAATTTAACAAAAATGAAAAAAAAAAACTTACTTAGATGTATGAGAAGGAGGAAAACGAAAGAAAGGGGAGAGGAGATGAAATGAGAAACAAAAATTTGGAGTTAAAAAGCACAAATTGTGTTCTCAACAATTTTTTAAAACACTTATTATGATGATTGATTTTTAATCATCATGAAAAAATACTTTCTATGTCGATTTCTTGCTCAATCAACATAAAAATTCTTATATTATTTACAAAAATACCACCATTTTTTATTATTTGTATTAATATTTTTTATATATGTTAAAATAACGATGGAAATAGAAAAGTTTCCAATATTCACACAAAATCACTACGTCATTTATTACGACGGGTACACTATAATAGACATAAAATATCATCGTAAAATCATTATCTTGTACTAGCTAGTAAAATAAATAATTAAATAGAAGTGATCATTTTATTTTATTTTAAGAGTTTATTAAAGAAGAATACATGCAATACAACGGAACAAATAAACTATTTCATTTTGTTTGTTTGCATGACGAATGCTACGTAAATGTTAATTTATGTGGCCAACACCTATAGTTGTTTCCATTTGACCATGAGAATCCTTCAATTTCTAGTGCGATTTATTTCCTTTTCATTGGTCAAGGGCTTTATTTCTTTTCATATTCTGCTATAGCACTGTTTGTAAGCAACTTGATGAATCCACTTTCAAGGCCCACTAAAATTAAAACAGCCACTCATTCATTCATCTAATCAATAGGGGTTATGTCACTAAAACTTTGGTGCCAGTCACAATGCTGTACTGGGATATGACATTTCTAATCTCATCAACATTTTGACATGCTATTAGGATTTAGGAGAATTTAAGAAAGTTCGTTTAGAAAAAAAAAACATTTTTAATCATAAATATGTCATTTTATTTTATTTTTAAAAAATGGTCTAAAAATAGAAAAATTAATAATAATAGAACATACATATTTCAAATTGCGTTAATTAACCATATTAGTAATTATTGGAGAGCTAACAACATTTTATTATTACTAAATATTATTAGCAAATCTCAGAATTTGTGTATTGCTTGAGGCAATTATGTACATATTAAAGCAAAATGGAGGTCGTTAATTTTTAAAAAAATATTAGAATGTACCGAAGATTGAATGGGATTTTTAATCGTGAAGAAGTTGAAATCGGAGTTTCACACATGCAACACCATCACCTTTACATATATAATTACTTAAAAAATTAAGACCAATCAAATTTTGTCTTGAGAGACAAAAAAAATACAAAATAAATAAAAATAAGGTACGATTTTCACATTTTATCTTATATAATTTGAATTATGTTGCTGAGCATGCTTGTTTCAACTGCGTGCGTAATGCCTAGTAAGAGTACACGTAAAAAGATAAGTATACAATATGCTTTTTCCATAACCTTCTCTTTAATTTGTTTGTATTATAAATCCCCAACATACATTAAATGTCCCCTCCCAATTAACTTCTATATATACATGCTCTATATTCTTCAATTTTTCATCCCTTGCTAATAAACTCATTTATTCAAAGATATCTCTTCCACCCCACAACGTGCAAGACTAACCCTAGTAATGGGTTTTATTAAAAAGGTCAGTTCCGGTTAATGTCCAATTTTATTATAAAAAAAATATAAAAAAAAACTCTAGAACATGCACTGGTGTAATTAGTAAGTATTACACCAGTATTATTATAACTCTCATATATATGTATATATATAGTCATGGATTCATGTTTATTCTCAGTTTATTTTATTTTTTTTTCTTTCTGAAGATTGTGCTTCAAATCGTGCTTTCTCTCTTGTTTACAACCCTTTTTTAGTATTTTCCTCGCAAAATCGAAATTATGAATTGTTTGTTATGATTTCATTTATATTTTATTAAGAGTTCTATGTACTATTTATATTCTCAACTTCTCGAATTAGGCTTTACTGTTATTAATTTCTTTTTCACTGTTCAATGATTTTATGTACTTGTTCTTATTTTCCCTAGTTATTAGTTCTGCTGGCACATTCAATTTGTTATGCATAAAAAGGGAAATAACATTCACTCAATCCGAGCATGCAGAAAATAGATTCTCTCAAGTGAAAAAAAAAAAAAAAAGTTTCTCAATTGTTAATATATTACGCTTAAATCTTTTAAATCTTTACTTTAGAATAAGAATACATCAGAGTTTTTTTTTAAAGGTTAGGGTTTTATCCAATGAAAATTTAACCGTAGAAAATTCATTCACAATGGGTAAGCATGATTTTTATCTTTCCCCACGTTCTCAAATTCTCTTCTTTTTTCATTACCAAAATAGTAAATTTTAGAATCCTACGGATTCAGATAGTGAAAGACTAATAATACAGTATAAACAACATAAATATTTTCAGTCCTTCGGTAATAAATTTTAATTCCCTTAAAATAACCATACTTATATGGTTATTTTTTTCTTGATTTATTTTTTATTTTTTATAAAAAAAAATAGAAGTTGCCAAATAAAGGATGTTTACTTAAGCTTTATTTTTATTTTCAAAAATCTAATACTTGAATTTAATTAATTTATATATTTGACGTGAATTTTCTTAAAGCTCAATTTGCCTTGAAAGGTTTTTAAAAAAATTATTTTATGAAAATATTTTTTAAGTACATAAATATGCATATAAATAAATTCACGGGCCTAAATTTTTAACTAATTGATAAATATATAACTTTGAAATATAAAAATAAATGCATATCAATATTTTTATTGTTTATACATATATAAGCTTGCATATTAAATATATTTTTTTATTGTCTAAGCCTATTTTTTAATTATTTATTTTCAAAAATATCTTGATCTAATTTATTTGATAGATATTAATACAAGTCTTATTATAGCTAGAGAGTTGGTCATCCTCAACTAAGGGTATTAAAAGGTAATCTAATATGGAAGGTGTAAAAACATGTTTTTTGGGTCATGAAGTTTCTTATAAAAATAAATTATTATATTTTTTCAAGTTTTTCAATCTCACTTATTATCTAATATGGAAGGTGTAAAAACATGTTTTTATTGGTCAATGAATATTTATTTATTTTGATATTTAATCTTTTTAAATATAGTTATTAATTTATTTACCCAAAAAATAATAAACAATTATATACAGTAAACATAATCAAATTTAAATACTTGATAAAATCATGAGATCCAAATGAATGAAAAAGAAAAAAAAAGCTCTCAAAATTTAAAATGTATTGATATAGAAATAAAAACAATTGATTGAATTATCCATTCAGTTCAAATTAAAAAGATAAAACTAATAATAAAATTAATTACAATTGATCGACTTGGTTCGATTTTCTTTGTATACAATATTCTTACTGATGTAAATTAGAATCTAGCAAGGACTTGATGTAGATTATCTATCTCACTACTAAACCACTCTTATTAGTTTACATGGTTCGAATTTAAAATAAAAAAGAATAATTTAGGTGACTAATTTTATCAGTTTCATTTGAAGTGTGCGATACACACCGGCATCTCAACCCTATATTAAAGGATATATAAATATGTTCTAGCTAGGATTCCGATCAAACTAATATCTATTTTTTTTTTTTATGATTAAATCTTTCAGGACACAATCGAGGGAAATGTTAAGGAGCAAGAGGTTTGCACCACGGATGGATCTATCGATAGCCATGGTCATCCCGCAATTCGACAAAGAACTGGCACTTGGGTTACGGCAGTTTTGATTTTAGGTATCATTCAACTAGTTAATTATCTATACACTGCTAGTATAAAGTTTTTTATACTGATAATCAATCAGAGCCATTAATAATATTTTTTCACCTGCTCATTTAATTAAATTAAAATATAAAGGCACTATTAACAGCTCTGATTTACTGTCATAAAAAACTTGTATAGGTGATTAACTCTAATTTAAATAATTTCATAATTAGTATATATGTAAGTATCAAATATTAATTTGATGAAAAGTAGTTAATAATTAGAATTGAATCAATAATCATGTATATATATTTAATTACTTATTTGTGTATATGTAGTGAATCAAGGGCTTGCGACATTGGCATTCTTTGGGGTAGGAGTGAATTTAGTACTATTTTTGACGAGAGTGATGGGTCAAGAGAATGCTGAAGCAGCCAACAATGTGAGCAAGTGGACAGGCACAGTTTACATCTTCTCTCTTCTTGGAGCTTTCCTCAGTGACTCTTACTGGGGAAGGTATATCACCTGTGCCATCTTCCAACTCATATTTGTTATTGTAAGTTATTCCTATTGCACCTTTTCTACAACTCAATAAATAAAGTAAAATGAAAAGCTCATGTGTTGTTATAGTCATAGAACATAGATTCTTAATTAATGTTGTCTTAACCTAGTTCTTTATTAAGGCTTAATAGTGTCCTTAATTGTTTTGATCTTAGAAGTCAACATATACAGTGTAAGCAAAAGTCGAACCAGATAAACTTTTTGACCTTAATGTGGTTAGGCCCGTTAGGGACTTTCAAAACCAAACTTGCTATAATTATTAGTAACTTTCATCATTATTTCCATATTCTGCTGTGTCATCATTTAATATCAGCTTACAGACTCACGATGACTTTCTAACTAAAGGATAATGACAAAGATATTAATATCAATTTGATTAAGAAAGGTTATTCGATCTGCACAAAAGGACGTACACGTACTGCTTGGTTAAATTAGTAAACTCTAGTTTGGATGTAAGTTTGAAAAACTAGAAACTAGCTTTTACCGTGCTTATTTAGCTAGGTCTTTATTGATGTGTTTATTTATCTGCCTCACACTTTTGACTTGCTGTTTGGTAAAATATAAATGCCTTTGAAAGAGTGGAAAACCAGCTATACAACTTTCTAGAATGAGGAATTTATTGTAGAGAGAAAAATGAAAATTTATAGTCGTCATTAATTAATTGTTAAGATTTAAAATAAATTCAGGAACACTGTTAATCTTAATTTCAACTGCTAATTAATGTTTCGATTAATCACCATAACTCTTGATTTTATTAGGAAAGCAATAAGAGTATTAACTACATCCCTATCATGTATTATTTTAATTTATACATTTTTTATTACTCTCTCGTGACACCCCCCTCTCTATATATATATATATGAGTTAATTACCTATACATTATTAGTGTTAAGATTTTTTTACATTGGCAACCAATCATATCTTTTAATAGTGTCATGTCAGTTACTTATTTAATGAAAATAATAAAATAAGCAACTTTAAAAGATATGATTGGTTGCCAGTGTAAAAAAGTTTACACAGACAGTGTATGGATGATCCTCTCCCTCTCCCTATATATATATATATACGTTATTATGTTAATGTTAAAAAAGACACAATTAAGATTAATTTTAAACTACAATCATTTTCTATTTTCAATGACACTTATCTATATGTTTGTCTATTTATCTATATAATTAACAATTTGTAATACAAAATTAATTACTATTATATTTTCTCTGAACTTATATATAAATAAAAAAATTATACAAATTAAAAATGTTAGATAAACACATTTAATTTTTATGATTTCATATAAAATACACATTACATTTTTTAAAATATTTTCAATCACATTTATTATAAATAATGTTCTCGTTTATTATTTATTATTTTATTAATTTAAGAAGATTTTTGAATTATGAGTATTAAATAAAATTGAGTTAATTAGAATTTACTTATATTTCAGTTTAAAAATATAAACATTTTTTTATTTATATATATAGTTAGATTCAGAGAGAATATTAGTTAAAGTATATTAAAATTATAAGATGATAACAAATATTGTTATCCTCTTAATGTTTTATATAAGAAATTATAAAATTAAATAAAAATAAAACTTAAATTAAGATTTATTTTATTATATATATTTTTTTGAAGCAATTTTATTATATATTTTAAAATAAATAATATTATGTGAAAAATATTATTTATTAAGTCAAGAAATTTAATTCAAGTATAATATACAATTGATAAAAATAGTATGATTTTTTTAATAAGTATATAATACATCAAGTTAGGTTAAAATAATAAAATATAAGTAGGCGTTTGGTAGACTATAAATTTTTTTATGTTTGAAAATCAGGACTAGTGAGATGTAGAAATTATGGAAATCATGATTTTTGTTAATTATGAAAAAAAAATTTAGTTAATCATAAATGTTTCTCAAAATGTTTATAAATGTTAACTAAGGAATCAAGAAGGGACAAACAAGGTCGATCTGGTGTTCTTAAGTTTGATTCTCATCTATATTAAATTAATACTTGACTAACAAAAGTCACATCTTACAAGTGTAAATTAGTCCTTGATTGTTAGCTTTGAGACATTGCGTAAGTCATGTTCATAAACCAATACTTGGTTAACGAAAGTCACACCTCATGAATACAAATTAGTCATTGGTTATCAATTTTGCGACACTACATAAATCATGTTTATAGACTAAAAAAAACTTTGGAATGAAGATTTTTATTGCATAAGAAGAAAATAAAAATAGCATGATATTTTTATCACATTAAAACTTTATTTTTTAGTTTCCTACCTCCCTCTTGCAAATATTTGTGTGATGAGATCTATACAAAAATCATTCCCTAAAAATAGTATTTTCTAAGAATATTATTTTTTAAATAACAAACTAAACACAAAAAAATTAACATTTTCAAAGTCAAATTCTCGAAAAAAATAAAAATTTACTATCTACCAAACGTCCAATAAATTTACCTTGTTCTCAAAATTAATTGGAACTTCTCAAAATAGATTTGATCAAGACAAGTTAACACAATCTGGTTTGAAGACTTTAGAATTAAATATTTAGGTGTGTGTGTATAGACATTAGACACAAACATGAGCAAGAGTTTGTGTCACGATATTTGCTGTGATAAAGAGAATTAATAGTTTTTATATGACAGGGTTTGGTGTCATTATCATTGTCATCTCACATATTCCTATTGAAGCCGAGTGGTTGTGGAGATAAAGAATTACAATGTGGATCACACTCATCATACAAAACCATTTTATTCTATGTCTCCATATATCTAATAGCCTTGGGAAATGGAGGATATCAGCCTAACATAGCTACATTTGGTGCTGATCAATTTGACGAAGGAGATCCAAAGGAACAAAATTCAAAAGTAGCATTTTTTAGCTACTTTTATTTGGCTTTGAACCTTGGTTCCCTCTTCTCAAACACCGTATTGGATTATTTTGAGGATAAAGGACAATGGACTTTGGGATTTTGGGCTTCAGCTGCTTCTGCTGCTATTGCATTGATTTTGTTCCTCTGTGGCACACGTAGGTATAGATACTTTAAGCCTGGTGGAAATCCTCTACCTAGAGTTGGCCAAGTTTTTGTTGCTGCTGCAAGAAAATGGAAGTTCAAGGTACCACGTGAAGGAAAACTATACGATGTTGAAGAGTCCTCAGACGATGGAAAGAGGAAAATGCTCCACACCATAGGATTTAGGTGTGTATATCATTCTCTCTCACATGCATTAAATTTGCTAATTTTTCACAATTTTTTTTAAAGAAGTGTGTTAATAAGTTAGACAAAACATAGATATATGAACTATTAGAATTAGTCTAACAATATAGAGTTAAAATAGTATATATGAATTTCTTGATTGGAACATCAGTGTGACTGTATACAAAACATAAGTGTATATATAATACTATATATACTGTTGTTCTGTTTGTACTTTATAGTTAAAATCATTTTGATTAATACACAAAACATAAATATAGTACTTGCATCATACTTTCATCATTTAGTAAAGAGTAAATTTTTATGCATTGACGATGTAAATAATATTTGAATAATTGATAGTATAAAATTTTTTAGACTTAAGATATATAAAATTAAATATTTTAGGAGATATTTTCATATTAATAACAAAAATTGATAATTTTTTTGAGGTGAATTAATTAAAATACTGAGTATGATATCTAAGTCTTATTCTAACAAGTTATGTATATAATTAAGGAAGCATTTTAAATTTTTAATAAATCTAAATTGTAAATTAGCATTTTTTTTTATAAAAAAATGCGAGTTTACAATGTTAATTACATAATTCAATTTAATTTCAAGAAGTATAAGTTAGCAGGTCATTGATGAAAATTATTATAATTTATCAGGTTCTTAGATAAAGCAGCATTCATCACATCAAAAGATTTGGAGCAGATAGAAGAGAAAAAATGCAGTCCATGGTGTCTGTCCACTGTGACACAAGTAGAAGAAGTGAAATGCATACTAAGACTAATCCCAATTTGGTTGTGCACTATAATGTACTCAGTTGTTTTCGCTCAAATGGCATCACTCTTTGTGGTGCAAGGTGATGCTATGGACACTGGTATTTCAAGTTTCAACATTCCTCCAGCAAGTATGTCTAGCTTCGATATTTTAGGGGTAGCATTGTTCATCTTCACTAATAGGCACATTATTGACCCTCTTATAGCGAAAATAATGAAAACCAAACTCTCAGAGCTTCAAAGGATGGGAATTGGGCTAGTCCTTGCAATCATGGCCATGGTTTCAGCAGGGTTGGTGGAGAAATTCAGGCTAAAGTATGCAATAAAAGATTGCAGCAATAATTGTGAGGAGTCTAGCTCACTGTCAATTTTTTGGCAAGTACCACAATATATGCTGACTGGAGCATCAGAGGTTTTCATGTATGTGGCACAATTAGAGTTCTTCAATGGGCAAGCACCTGATGGATTAAAAAGCTTTGGCAGTGCACTTTGCATGACATCAATATCACTAGGAAACTATGTAAGCAGTTTGCTTGTTGCAATTGTGATGAAAATCTCTACCAGACATGACATACCAGGATGGATCCCAGGAAACCTAAACTTGGGACATTTGGACAGGTTTTACTTCCTTTTAGCAGCACTAACAACAGCTGACCTCGTAATTTATATTGTATTGGCTAGGTGGTATAAATATACCAAGTTTCAAGAAAAGAACCTAGAAGACATCAAGAGGAAAAATCAAGAGGGATTTATAGTGTAGAGATATTACATGATAAATTAGATAGTCTGTGCAATAATGGAATTCATTACGCATTTCTCTTAGTGAAGCGGATGTACTACAGATTGTATTCGATTGATCATGTATTTCAACTACAATTATATTTTATATTATTTTTCTTTTGTTTTGGTGCATATATAAAAAAAATGTCACGTGATATATATTATCCTTTTCTAAAAGTTAAATTGCTAATATAAAAATAATTATAATTATTATATATTCATTTTTTATTTCTCTCTACTTCTTATCATATACTATATGTATAAATCAAATTTTCTCTTTATTTTATTATTTCTCTCTATTTTTCTTTTTCTTACACTTATCGTATTTAACTTTTTTCGATATCAAAAGATCAATTCCTAAAAATAATATTGTTACATTAATTAGGGTTGGCTTTGAGTTTTATTTATGTCCTTGATAAAGTGAAAAAGATGATGCTTTATAATTATTTGAATACTACTTATGACTTTAATTTTTAAATTAAAAAATATAAAACATACAAACAATTAAATATGCAATTGTTAAAAAAATATTAAACATATTATATATTCATATGAAATTATGAGTTATCTTAATAAACCACTGCACATTGAAAAAAATGGATCAATAATATGATGACTCATTATAAAAACACTCAAAGAGATGAAGATTTACAATTTAATTTCAAAATTTCAACGGAATAAATCATGTCACAATATAAAAAATTAAAAGAGATTTAAAGAAATTAAAGATGAAAAAAAAAGTTAAAGATGACTCTTATAATTCTATATTAACACTTATGAAGGTTCATGCAAAAGAGAGGAAAAAAAGTTAATAATTAATACATCATACTTTACTTTTTATATTTAAATTATTGATTTATTTTCCTAAATTATGGATAGTTTTTGTTGACTAATGAAAAAAAATAATTATTAAATAATTGTTTACAATTATTTTATTTTTATAATACATTTTTTTTATAATTTAATTATATAAGTTTTTATATTATATAAATTAATTAGATAACATTTTTGTTTATCCTTCCAATAATAAGATTATATATGATCGTCCCATCAACTCATGCTCAGAGCACCACGGCAACAACCAAAGAGACCATGCATATCATTTCATAAGCCACAAGATATACGACCAAATTTTATTTTATTTTTATAGCTATTTTACCTTATTTTTCATTATTCACGATTCTATTTTGGAAAGCTAAAGCATATATGTCATGATCTTTTGCTCATTTAGGTAAGAGGGGAATATTAAATGTGAATATTAAATAAATTTGCAAATATATTGATATTTCAAGATTTCATTTTTTAATATTAAGATATTTTCATTTTATTTTAATTTTAAGAGAACACCAAGTTTTGTCTGACATTTTTTTGTTTGTTTTATTTTACAGTATTTTTTTATTGTACTTGCTTTCTGTTTCTGCATGTACAATTATATTGGGCCAGCCTAACCCAAAAACTTTGTTTCTAAAGGGTTCCACCTACATCATAATATTATAAAATAACTGCACCCAAACATTTAGGGTGAGAAGCCCAAGAACTTCACAACTTTACGGACTCTTCTTGCATAACCACATATTAGCAGATTTGGTTTTGCCAATTTAACTGTAATTAACACTTAATCAAACTTACTTGTGTGTAACCAAAAAAAGAAAAAAAAAAAAAGAAATGAAAAATCAAACTCACTTGCGTAGTTGATCTTTGTTTGTCCAAGATAGTGGAAACCACACAATCTTTTACAAGGTCCTCAAGACGCTGAGTCAGATATCCATCACCTGCTTCTGCTTATTATAATTTATTTAATTTGGAAACATCGCACAAACTTAATACTCCTTTTAATCTCATAAACAAACTCGCAATATATATAAAAATATAAGATAACAATATTCTACCCAATTGATACCACAATTAATAGGTAATTAATTGAGTTTTTTAACCATTGAGTTTCTTATATGGTGTGAAACCCTCAAAAACTAGAGCTGTCAAAACGGGCTAACCCGGCCCATGTGGGCCGGCCCACCTTGACCCACTTTAAAAACGAGCCAACCCAACCCGGCCCACTTGTAATTTTTTCAAAAAAAATTTGGCCCGGCCCGGCCCACCACGGGTTGGTGGGTTATACGGGCCAGCCCACCAGCCCACCAAAAATTAAAAAAAAATTATTAACAAAATTCAAAATTTTAAATTAATTATAAATTAACATAATAGTCATAAAATTAACATCATTAATAGTTATAAGTCATAATTCATCATACAAAATTAAATACAAATCATGATAAAAGTTTAAAATAAAAATTTTCAATATATCATCATACAAAATAAACTACAAATCATATTCAAATTTTTATTGAAAAAAAAAATGGTGGGTTGGTGGGCCACCCGGCCCACCACGGGTTTAGCCCGGGTGGGCCGGGTCAAAGTGGGCCGGGTTGAAATATACCCACCTACTATAAAACTTCAATTTTTTTTGGCCCGGCCCGGCCCGTTTTCAAGGTGGGCCGGGTTGGCCCACGGGTCCCGGCCCACTTTGACAGCTCTAATTTATAACTAGAGCTGTCAAAACGGGCCAACCCGGCCCATGTGGGCCGGCCCACCTTGACCCACTTTAAAAACGAGCCAACCCAACCCGGCCCACTTGTAATTTTTTCAAAAAAAATTTGGCCCGGCCCGGCCCACCACGGGTTGGTGGGTTATACGGGCCAGCCCACCAGCCCACCAAAAATTAAAAAAAAATTATTAACAAAATTCAAAATTTTAAATTAATTATAAATTAACATAATAGTCATAAAATTAACATCATTAATAGTTATAAGTCATAATTCATCATACAAAATTAAATACAAATCATGATAAAAGTTTAAAATAAAAATTTTCAATATATCATCATACAAAATAAACTACAAATCATATTCAAATTTTTATTAAAAAAAAAATGGTGGGTTGGTGGGCCACCCGGCCCACCACGGGTTTAGCCCGGGTGGGCCGGGTCAAAGTGGGCCGGGTTGAAATATACCCACCTACTATAAAACTTCAATTTTTTTGGCCCGGCCCGGCCCGTTTTCAAGGTGGGCCGGGTTGGCCCACGGGTCCCGGCCCACTTTGACAGCTCTATCAAAAACTGCTTGAAAGTATCCAAAATATTGAGTCAGATAGGCATACACAAAATAATAAGGAGCAATATATATCAACTATGTTTGCTTATTGCTTAAAGTTTGTTCACATTGCACAATCTTAAGGAACACTTATTCCAATTAACACAAGGAATTAGTTAATACAATTACTTTTTCCTATAATTCAACTTGCGTAATCTAGTTGTGCTTATCTGAGAGGAAGTGAAACCCATAAAATCTGCTTCAAAGTTTTTACATTGATCCGCGCAAAATGATAAGCGTAAAAGATATCAGCTACCACTTATTCCTTTCTAATATTTTATTGTTTGCGAGCAATGACCAAATTAATATTTAGCATCCCTTTAAACTAGACTATTATAATTATACTTAATTATAAGAATTTTATAAAGATATTAATGGCATGTAACCGTCTAGAATGGTATCAGAGTCTAAACGCACTTGTAAAGTATTTCTCTCTTTTGAAGGAGTATAAGGTATAATCACATAGAAGAAAGTGAGTAAGGAAAGATCTACACAGCATGAGTAACTTGCAAACAGATAACCCACGTCCTTCTATAATCCACTCTTCACAAATCAATCTTACAATCCCAAAATCTTGTGAATAAACCCTGTCAGATAAGAAAAAGAAAAAAATAATAAAATATATATATATATATATATGTATTTTTTACTCAAACT